GCGTCGCGGAGCAGGCGCTGGGCGGACGCGGCGGGACTGAGGCTGCGGCTTTCCAAACGGAAGCGGAATTATTCCAAGCATTCGGGGCAGCTCGCTCGCCTTTCCCGTCCCTCTCTCCCTCCCTCGCGCCGCCCTCCGCCCCGGGAAGGAGCTGCGCGCTCGGGCCGCAGAGGAAGCCCCGACTCTTCCCCTTGCAGGGCTTGCGGCCTGATCTGCTCATAGATGGGTGACCCTGCTGGGGCGGAGGACGTGACCCTCCAAGCCCCGTGTCCGCCGCTCCTGCACCCAGCACCCATCCTCGCACCGCCCGGAGGATTCCGTGATTGACTTGCAAAACAGAACCAACGTGCTGCTCTTTCGCCCCGTGTCTCTGGCCCCGCTTCTGGGCGCTCCCTCTGCCCTGGATTTAGTTAGGCCCATAGCTTGTGCCCGACAAAGAGTGAGCGAGACCCACAAAGAAACACTTGTGACTGAACCAAAACTTAGAGCCTCGGGCCCCACCAAACTGGGCACATATCAAACTGCTGCGGCAATTTCTCACACAGGCGCAACTTGGTTTCCTGTCTCGGGCCTCCGCATTCCCGCTCCCTCCAAGAGTTGAGAAGTCACCCAGTTTTATAACAAAAATAATAAAAAATCCCTTCCTCCAGGACGAACAACAGGAACCATGGGGGGAGGGAGATGGCGGTTGGTGTAAGATGAAAATAAAAATAATCAAGGGGTCACGAGGGTGGGGGGAGCAGGGAAAAAAGAGGAGCTGAGATCAAGGGCTCAAATAGAAAGTAAATGTCTAGGAAAGAATGATGGCAACATATGTACAAATATGTTTGATACAATTGATGTATGGCAAAGTTCTCAACCTTCCTAATGCCTCGACCTTGACTACAGTTCCTCATGTTGTGGTGACCCCCCCCAAACCATAAAATGATTTTCCTTGCTATTTCACAACTGTAATTTTGCTACTGTTATGAATTGGGCAACTCCTGTGAAAGGGTCATTCGACCCCCAAAGGAGTCGAGACCCACAGGTTGAGAACTGCTGATGTATAGATTGTTATAAGAGTTGTAAGAGCCCCCAATAAATTGATCTTTTAATTAAAAATTAAAAAGCAAACTAACTGCTATCCAGTCGACGCGGACTCATAGCAATCCTCTAGAACAGGGCAGAACTACCCCTGTGGGTTTCCTCGACTACTTTTATTACAGAAGTAGAAACCCTCTTCTTTCCTCTGTGGAACATCTAGTGGTTTCCAGCGATATGCCGACCTTGCAGTAACAGCCCAACACACAACCACCATGTCACCGGGGCTCATGTGGCTTGTCCAGAGGGCCCAAATGTTGGTGGAAACATCCATGGGAAGGGTTAACCATGGGCTCCTGTAAAACTCCTTACCCACCCACCCCACCCACCCCCATCCACCCTTACCCCACCCACCCACCTTCCCTGCCCTCAGCTGCCCCCAATCCCGAGCTATTTTACCCAAATAACAACAGGGAAACCAGATGCTTTTAGGTCATGCGGACCTCCGTGTTTCAAGAACTTAGTGGAAATTTTACAAACAAATGCTCTACTGTGCTTACCCTCCTCAAACAGCCTCAATCAAGAAGAAAAGCAGGCAGACCGTTGTGACAGGTTGCGCGTTTGACTGATGAATCAGGCCATATCAAGAGGACTGTTCAACCAGCGTGGAAAGCAATCTGGCGATCCCTCAACCAAACAGGAATAGAAATTCCACTGGATTCAGCAACACTTCTGCAGGGGATATGCCCTGTAAGAGCCTTATCACAAGCAGACATAGACATGCCCATGTTCAATTCCAGCACTGTTTACAATAACAAGAAGTCGGAAGCAACCCAAAAGTAGCCTAGTAGATAGAGAAACTTTGGTACGGACACACAGTGGAATATCAGACAGCTCTGAAAAGCACTGAAGGAACCACAAGGCACCTCACAACATGGATAGACATGGAGAACAGCATGTGGGCAAAGCTACCAATCGCAAGAGGACAAAAATTACATGAGACCACTACTATGACGACAGAGCCTGGCATCTGTTCTCAGGTCATGTAATCATTTAACTTGGTCTCCCAAGCAATGTTGTGCTGTGGCTGTCTACTGCTTGTGAACTATTTTTCACTCCCTTATTTGGACATTTTCAGAGACAGGGCTTTCTACACTCATAAAGAATTGCCATTTCCGGAAGCCACAGGAGTGGCTCTAACCTGCCCTATAGGGTTGCTATGAGTCAGCATCAACTTGATGGCAGTGAGTTTAGATGATTTTTATTTGCACATTTAAGAAAACACTTCTTCAGAGGAGGTCCTACTTCACTTTTTCATTTAGCAAGAAATGGGAAAGGTCAAGTAGTGTCCCACTTAAGTGTTCCCCCAACTTACTAGATGCTCCTATAATGCTGTTATTAAAGGGATTGACATACTCCATTGGACTTGAAGCTGAAACACCTTGGGGTGGGCGGACGCAGATGACCGCTATCCCAATGTTCTGGACTTTGAAGTCATGGACCCTGGTCAAAATCTTGCTTTCCAGGGTGCCCAAGAATAACTTAAGACTAGTGTAGGTTTTACGTGACACATATTAGTTCTGCAGGCATAATTTTGCCTTAGTGAATGAATGTTATAGAAATTTTTGTCTGGTGTCTAACCCCATTAGTTTCTTATTTTATTTTTTTATTCACTTTATTGGGGGCTCATACAGCTCTTATCACAATCCATTCATCCATCCATCCGTTGTGTCAAGCACATTTGTACATATGTTGCCATCATCATTTTCAAAACATTTTCTTTCTACTTGAGCCCTTGGTATCAGCTCTCATTTTTTTCCCTCCTCATGAGCCCTTGGTAACTTACAAATTATGATTTTTTCCATGTTGTACACTGACCGATGTCTCCCTTCACCCACTTTTCTGTTGTCTGTCCCCCTGGGAAGGGGTTATATGTAGATCATTGTGATTGGTTCCCCCTCTCTTCCCCCATCTTTCCCTTACCCTCCTGGAATTGCTACTCTCATTATTGGTCCTGAGGGGTTTATCTATCCTGGATTCCCTGTGTTTCGAGCTCTTATTTGTACTCATGCACATGCTCTGGTCTAGCCGGATTTGTAAGGTAGAATTGGGGTCATGCTAGTGGGGAGGAGAAAGCATTAAAGAAATAGAGAAATGTTGTATGTTTCATCTGTGCTATACTGCACCCTGACTGGCTCTGTCTCTTCCTTGTGACCCTTCTGTATGGGGATGTCCAACTGTCTACAGATGGGCTTTGGGTCTCCACTCCACACTCCCCTTCATTCCCATTGATATTATTTTTTGTTCTGAGTCTTTGATGCCTGACCCCATCAACACCTCATGATCACACAGGCTGATGTGCTTCTTCCATGTGGGCTTTGTTGCTTCTCAGTTAGATGGCTGCTTGTTTATCTTCAAGCCTTTAAGACCCCAGACGCTGTATCTTTTGATAGCTGGGCACCATCAGCTTTCTTCACATTTGCTTATGCAACACATTTTGTCCTCAGCGATCGTGTCAAGAAGGTGAGCATTGTGGAATGCCAGGTTATTAGAACAAAGTGTTCTTGCATTCAAGAAGTACTTGAGTAGAGGTCCAATGTCCATCTGCTACCTTGATACTTAACATATTAATATATGTGCATAGATCTATTTCCCTATCATTATTATATAAACATATTTACATATGTACATGTATTTAGACCTCTATAAATATCCTTTGCTTCCTAGTTCTTTCCTCTGTTTCCTTTTACTTTCCTCTTGTCCCACTATCATGTTCAACCTTCATTCGGGTTTCGGTAATTCCTCTCGGTTTCATTGCCCTTGATCAAGCCCTCCTGGGCATCCTACACCCTCTTTGCCCTTGATTTCAGATCCCTTGTTGTCCCCGGTAGGGCTATGGGTCAGTGAGGGACATTGTGTCTCATGGTGGGGCCAGCTCTATGGTCCTCTCTGTGCTTTGGCTGCTCTGAGCAGGAATATCATCCTTAGGGCTTGGTGGGCCAGGATGTGCTCCACTCTCACCTTCCATCTTCGTTTGCTCCTGTGTGCTCTGATCAGATGCGCCCCTCTCCCTGAGCTATAGCTTCAGTGCTGTCCTCTGAAGTGAATTCTTCTGGGGGGAGACAGCAGGGGAGGTCCGTGTAGTTGGGGTTGGGCCCGGCCCCACAGACCTCTCTATTGGTTTCCTGCTTCATGCAGGTATGTTGCATTCATGTCTTGGTGCACCGGGTTGAAGTCTCCATTGGTTTCTTAAGCAGTGTTCAGCCACTTAAGTTTTTGACCCGTGTAAGTGAATGTTCCATGTATTTTAGTCTCTTAAAATCTTCTATGCTTATACATATTTTAATATTTTGTACAATAATATTTTTAATTTTATGCCATTTTTTAGATTAAGTATATTATTAATAGAATCACCAAATATCCCCTGTATGCTATTCATATTATTTTGCAAGAACCTGACAGTGCTGCCTCTAAAGTAAACAAGGGATATATATAAACATTAGATATATGTAAATGAATTTAAACTCCCACTTAACTGTAAGCCCTAATCTAGGAACAATTTGTTCTTATGATGTGTCCCTGCTTGATATTTTCCCTTGAGAAATGATCATTAAAGATATGTGTGCTAGAGAAAAGTGTGGCAGAGAAATCAGATGGTGACCAGCTATCAGAAAGACTAGCTTCTGGGGCCTAAAAAGCTTGTCTTAAGCAAACAGCCATCTAAGAGGTCCCTGATCAATCCACATGGAAGAAGCAAGACAGCCTGTGGAATCCAAGGATCTCAAATGGTAAAACCCAAGATCAGAGGAGGATTAGAGCTTTGCTTCTGACACCCAGTTTGCAGAAGACCAAGGGTGACAGAGAAAGCCCTAACTCCATTTACAGAGTTCCCACGTGGATTAAGTCTCTATTGAATGGCCTTGACTATTGAACAGGGCTGTGAGCAATCTTGTCCACAGACAGGGTGGATTTGAAAGTGGATGGCTGCAGATGCAGTTTGGTTCAACTTTAATATCTTACCACTTGTTTTCCTTTTTGATCCACTTTTTAACTTGTCCTAATTTTCATTACTTTTTACTTTCTTTTGGAATTATATTGTTCTGTGTTTTATTTCATTGTTGTTGCTCTTCTTATTATTATTCTTTTTCCTCTTTCTCTTCTTCCATGATGTTCTCATGTGAGGTCCAGGATAGGTAACCCTATAGAGACAGCACCTAGATCACGAGTTCCTTTGGATTACGACAAGGGAAGTTGAAGGAACAGGAGATGCTAGCAGCCATGGATGCCAGCAGGAAGGACATGTTCCACAGTGGATCCTGGTAAAGACTGCACAACTCTTTTTGATGCATTTGAAACCACTGATTTATATAATATGTAAATTATATGCCAATCAAACGATGCAAAGTCCATGGAGGAGGGGCAATTGCTTCATGGAATATATTGAGGAGCCATCATGGCAGTTGTCAAGTAAACATTGGACTGCTAACCGCAAGGTCGGTGATTCAAACCCATCAGCTTCTCCCAGGCAGAAAGAGGAGGTACGTGTAACACTTTACAGAGTTGGAACCCACATCCATGGTGGTGGGGATTTAAAATAAGGGTGAGTGGACAAGTTGGAGGGGGGAAAGGAGGGAGGAAAGGAGTAAGCTTGAGAAACTATGTGGTCTGAGGGATGGAAAACTAAGGCGAGCAGCCGCGTGGCTCTTGAGTCTCTTCCCAGCCTCCACCCTCGGTGCTCAGAGGGCCAGCTGAGCTCCTTCCCAGATGATGTCCCTAAAGCCTTTTAATGAGCCACCCCCTCTGCTGGGGCTAATAGACAACTGGCAGGTTGCAATTCCCGACTGGAACAAAAATTCCACAAACAAGATGGTCAACAGGTTCTCAGCAGAGCATGGAGTCATGATTTCACCTTTTATTGGAAGTGATATCTTAACGGGTGCTTACCTAATAGAAAAGTGATGAGATCAACAGAATTTTGACCTAGAGGCCGGGGAAGAAGAAGACAGGCCCCCTTCTGGCCCAGCTTCTCCCTCACCCCACCGCCCCCAAACACATGTTCCAAAGATGGTGAGAGGCCAAACTCAAATTGTGTTTTCAGTTGATCATAAATCATTCTTGTTTGGCATATTCAATACATGCAAGGTGTCGCCCAAATCTTGACCTCAGCCATGGAAGCACTTGCTAGGGAATCAGGAGACATAGATGAGCAATAGCTATGTGATCTCAAGCACTCAATTCCATCAAGTCCGTTTCAACGCAGAACTGGGTTGGAACTGCCAGAACAGACAACCCAGAACCGTCCCTGTGAGTCTCCTGCCCCTGTGAATCTTTGGAAACCCACAGGGGATCGTCATGAGTCAGCCGTGACTCGATGGCAGTGAGTGTGAAGTCTGAAAACCTGATCAAGGCGGAATTGAAAACCAATCAAAAGTCATGACTGTTAAATGCCGATGAGAAACAGCAGCAAAACAAGCCACGATGAAGGCAAAGCTGAATTTGTTGTGCACGTTGACTGAGAAAAGCACCGCTCGGCCCCAGCTCAGCAGCATCTTGGAGCGGAGGAGGCCAAAAAGGAAGG